GAGTTAACATGATAATAACGAGTTAACATGATAATAACGAGTTAACGTGATAATAACGAGTTAACATGATAATAACAAGTTAACATGATAATAATAAGTTAACGTGATAATAACAAGTTAACATTATAATAACGAGTTAACATGATAATAACAAGTTAACGTGATAATAACAAGTTAACGTGATAATAACAAGTTAACGTGATAATAACGAGTTAACATGATAATAACAAGTTAACATGATAATAACAAGTTAACGTGATAATAACAAGTTAACGTGATAATAACGAGTTAACATGATAATAACGAGTTAACATGATAATAACGAGTTAACATGATAATAACAAGTTAAAATGATAATAACAAGTTAACGTGATAATAACAAGTTAACATGATAATAACGAGTTAACATGATAATAACGAGTTAACATGAACACCACTAATATAAACCTTGTGAGGTGAATGACAGGGGCTTGGGAGCCCCACTCTTTGGAGGAAACTATGCTTTCTAGTTTTTTTATGCTTAAAAGTATATTTTCCTCAAATGATTGGGGTGGCCAATGATTAATCTATGGTGGCCAAGGCCACCATTGGCCACCCCCTGGCTCCACCACTCTGCCTGGTGGTGGATAAACTTGTTCTCTCCATTCATCAGGATCTGTCACTCTGCGCAGCCTCTGACGAGCAAATGTTAATTATCTAACACTTTTAAATTGACTTTACTCAGACTTTTTATTGTATTTTTATTGGCTGTACCTGTCCTTGTTGCCCTACAGGGTGGATGTTGTCATCTGTCTCAGCACCACAGTGAGGAACGACACGCTGCAAGACGTTCGGGAGCAGCGGGTGTCTCTGAAATGCCGCAAACAGCTGCGGGTGGAGGAGCTTGAGATGGTAAATAAACACACATGAACCTCATCACTGCTCATCTAAACTCAGCAGAGAGGAGTCTTCTCCCCACACAGATGTTCACGGCCATCTTTAGGACCTTCTTCAGCTTTTCTAGCTTAAACTCAGCTCAGTAAAGTTTTAACTTTTTGGAATGAAATCTATTCCTGTTCTTTCTCCTGATAAACGACTTGGTGGTTTGGATTAGTAACAAAAACACATCAACTATTTGTGTTAGTAATTTTCTACTCTTAACAAGTTTAGTTTTTCGTTAAGGTCCATCTTTTTTTTTTTTTTTACAAGTTTGTTTTTTTTACCAATCTAGTTGTTGATACCTGAAAATAACAGCTGAGATGCTGATCCAGAAAGTTTTGGTGTGAACAAAGACTAAAGCGCCTGCCTGCCAATCTCTGCAGTGCCTTTAAAACATCTTCAAACCTTTTCAGATATAATATAATGTTCAATTAAATTCGGTTCATTTATTTAGTGCCAAGTCACAACAGATGTTTTCTCAGGACACTGAACAGAGACACATATCAGTTAGTAAAAGTTCTCTATGTAAGGAAGCAGCAGATTGAGTTGAGTCTTCACTTCATCACAGTCTCTCATCCTGAACAAGCACAAAGGAGACGGTGGAAAGGAAAAACTCCCTTTTAAAGGAAGAAACCTCCAGCAGACCCAGACTCGGGGCGAGCGTCCATCTGCTTTGACCGGCTGGTTTGAGAGGACAGGAAGTAGAAACAAACACAGAATGACAGGTCCAGATGAACTGTCTATAGGAGGAAAGACTAAAAACATGTTAAGATAGAAATAAATACAAACCGGTAGAAAAAAGCAAGTAAAGACAGCAGAGTGAGGAAATGAGGTCAGTTTGTCCTCCAGCAGTCTAAGCCTATAGCAGCATAACTCAGGGACAGCTCAGGAAACCCAAGCAGACCCTAACTATAGGATTTATCAAAAAGGAAAGACTTTTTTTTGTTTAGTGTTTGTCCTGCTGGAAGGTCGACCTCTAACCCAAGTCTCAAGTGTTTTGCAGCCTTTACAGGTTTTCTTCCATGACTCTAGTATTTAGCTCCATCCATCTTCTCATCAGCTTTGAGCAGCTTCTCTGTCCTTACTGAAGAAACACATCCCCACAGCATGAAGCTGCCAGCACCATGTTTCATGGTGGGGATGGTGTGTTCAGGGTTGTGAGCACAGTGCAGAGTTTACCACCACACAGTGTTTTTCATTTTGACTGAAATGTGAGCAGAGCAGCTTCTTCCTTCTTCTTTGCTGCATCTCTACATGGCTTTCAACAAACAGGACTTCTGATGTCTTTCTGTCAACAACAGCTTTCCTCTGGCTACTCTTCCACACGGGTTAGATGAGTGGAGTGCATGCCTAAAGGTTGTCCTGCGGACAGATTGTCCCTCCTGAGCTGTAAACCTCAGAGTTACCAGGAACTTCTTGACTGTTTCACAGATCAAAACCTTCCTTGTGGTCATTCCACATGGATGGTCATATCTTAGTATCTTCAAGGTTCAAATGTTGCACAAGGCCTTTGTTGGGGGGTTGAATAGACTAATCAACTAATCGACTAGTTGTTTCTGGGACATCTCGTAAGTTTTTATATTTCACATCGACTCCCCCACCACCCCCATCCCTGCTGTTCCCAACCCTATTCCACCCAATCCACGGTGGTGGATTAAATAAAAAAAGGATAAGAACAGCAGGGCGGGCGGTGATGGAGTCCACCAGCTCTGCTGTTCTTAGCCTTATCTCTTACTTGCCGCACGTTTTTTTCATTTTTGCAGCTTGATAATAGTTTTGCTTTTCCTTTGACTTATTTGCACTATGATGAATGGTAGGAGCCTAAATATACGCCCAATGTTTTGTTGTTCTTATTTTTTGTAAATTATATTTTTTTGCTAATATATATTGCTTGCAAATATGATATAGTGTCTTGAGTTCCTGTGACATCATCGACAAGTCGACATCGACTCGACTTTTGTCATGTTAAATTCGACTTTAAAAAATATGTAGTTGTTTAAGCCCTAGTCTTTTCCAGTCTGGGCCATTGCTATAGATTGCTGTATTGGTGATTAATAGTTTGTTGAACAGTTGGTCTGTAGCTGTGACATACAAGCTTTGAATCCCTGAGATGTTCAGAGCTTGTGGCTGAGTGGTTAGAGCAGTCGTCCTCCAATGCAAGAGTTGGGGGTTCGAATCCACCAGCAGTCACATGCCAAAGTGTCCCTGGGCAAGACACTGAACCCCTCATCGCCTCCGATGTGTGTCCCATCGGTGAATGAATGTGATCTAAAAGCACTGATTATTTGTTCAATTAGCTTTGTAGAGATCTAGTATAGAGCTGTATGAATGGGTAAATGAGCCACAGATTGTAAAGAGCTTTGAGTATCTTGATTAGATAGAAAGGTGCTATATAAGTACAGTCCACAGCCCATATTGATTTATAACCCAACACTGCTTTAAACCTGAGCGGTGTGTTCCTGTTTGATCACTAACGTTCTGTAGCAAACCTCGGAGGTCTTCTCAGAACAGCTGAGTTAATACTCTGCACACAGATGAAGTCTATTTTCAAACCAGGGGACTTCTGAAGGCAGCTGGTTGCACTTCAGCTCAGAGCATCAGGGTTGGGAGCAGAATACAAATACACATCATGCTTTTCAGGTTTTTATTTATTAAGCATTCAGAAAACAGTCGTCCCTTCACTTCATAGTCATTCACAACTTTGTGTTGGTCTGATATCTGACACCTCACGGAAATACGTTGTGAGTGTAACGTGACAAAATGTGGAAACGTTCAGGGGGTGTGAGTACTTGTTCAAGGCTCTCTGTTCTGTAGAGCAGACACATTAAGTTTTTATTGTTTCTTTAGGTTCTTTGTTACTTGCAACTTTTACAGACTCAGTTTTTCTCATTTCTTCAACGGAATCTAACTAAACACAAAAGTTTAGAAAATATTAGAGCTAAACTATTCACAGCCAGGAATTGTTTCAAAATAAAAGCCTTCAATATATGAATCAGAAACACATACTTGTATTTATTGCTCAGTCTGTAACAGTTTATAAATAACCAAAAATCTGAATAAAATACTTTTGGAAATGTGCAGTGAAGACACAAATGATGATTTTTAAAAAATGGTTTTAAAAATATTCCTTAAAAGACGCATCAGACTCTTTAAACTTTAGTGATGCTTATGTTGTGAGTTCTGATTAAATACCCTAAAGTGTTTCGGTCACAGTACAGTCTGCAGGTAAAATGTCTTCTTGTCTCAGTCAGAAGATATCCGGTTGGAGCCAGAGTTGTACGATCCCTGCAAGGCAGACATCAGCCGTCTGTGTCCCAACGTGGCCTTCGGGAACGCTCAGGTAAAAATCTCCACATCAACAAGCGTTGTCTGGATTTCCATCAGAAATGTTTCAGCCTTCTGAGCACCTGAGCAGCTGTGGCTCAGTGGTTAGAGCAGTCGTCCTCCAACGGGAGAGTTGGGGGTTTGATTCCACCAGCAGTCCCATGCTGAAGTGTCCCTGGGCAAGACACTGAACCCCTCAGTGCCTCTGATGTGTCCCATCGGTGTATGAACGTGATCTAATGCACTGATTATCTTTGTAGAGTGCTGCATGACTGTGTGTGGAGGTAAAGGCACAGATTGTTGTAGAGCTTTGAGTGTCTGGATTAGACAGAAAGGAGCTGTATAAGTACAGTCCATTTACCTCTCTCTCCTTGCCTCCCTTCACTCCTCCTCAGATGATCGAGTGTCTGAAGGAGCAGAAGAAGCAGCTGAGTCAGCGCTGCCATCAGCGCATCTTCAAGCTGCAGGAGGTGGAGATGGGCGACCCCGAGCTCGACTACCAGCTGATGAGAGTCTGCAAGCAGATGATCAAAGTGAGGAGGAAACAAGCTGTGGGGAGATACTTGATCTTTGTTCAGTCTGTGTTCAAATATCCTTCTTGGACCGTCTTTACTTTTAACTACTGTTATATTTTAGACTCCTTTCGAAGGTGGATGTGTTATGGTATGATCCCGACCGTAACTTCTGATCAGCTCAAAATAGTTTAATGAAACTCGATACACATTTGTACCACCATTTCACAGAATATCATGAAATCTGTTCATCAGCCCAGCTTCAAGGTCAATGTCACAAATCAAGTCAAATGTTATACAAGGTTTTTGCTTTTTGGGGCCAAACTTTATAACAGCTTTTCACACACATCATCGTCCCCCCTGAAAAAAAATCACAGACGAGATGAGCGCCCTGCCATGGCACGTTATCTAGGGGAAACACTGGATGTGTAATGTGCTCCTGTTAATTTTGTTGCAAAGTGATGAGAATAAAAATTTAGTTAATTTATGGAAAATCATGCTATTATCCAAGCTAATGTTGTCATAACAAAAACTGTACTTTAAGTGAGTTGAGACCAGTTTGGACTCTTAAACTGAAATGGGGAATGGGCTTGGAGGAATCCATGTCAGACTCAGCCTGGAGAAAGATCATTAAGAACATTTATTCATCCTCAATCTGTCTGAGACGCTATAATTTAATTCAAGGTGGCGCACCAGCTGCACTGGTCCAAAGACAAACTGTTCAAGATCAAAGCCAACCTGGATCCTGCATGTAATCGTTGTAAACAAACTCCAGCTATGATCTTACACATTCTGGACTTGTCCAAAACTGTGGACCTATCGGAACTCTATTTTCGATTCAACAAATTCCCTGCTCAATAATCCAGGTATAAAATCCAACATTTTCCAGTCAGGTCATCTGGACAGTTTCTTTTTTTGTGCTGAAACGTTGGAGGGGCGTACCAAAGAGACCATCTTATCACAAGCAGAACTGGCTTGTTCCACTTTGGAGTAAGCTGTTGGGGGAAGAATCAGTTTTGTTGTGTGTTTCCTTGACTGATGAAGCCTTCTGGATCGAAGGCGAAACGTTTCAGTACAAAAAAAGAAACTGTCCAGATGACCTGACTGAAAAATGTTCTGTTTTTGATACTTTCTGTGGGATATGTGGGAAAAACTGTGTACCCGTCACCGACCACCCCGAACTGTTCACTGTTCGGGGTGATCCCTGTGGATGCATCCTTCAGTAAGTATGAGAGGTTATGATTGCTTTTGGCTCTCCAACCAGGAGACTTATTTGATGTAGATGGAAGGATCCACATCCCCCGGCATATGAACACTGGATAAGAGAAGTCGTGTGTCATATTCATCTGGAAAATATTAGATACACTTTGAAACGTTTGGTTAAGAGGTTTTGGGACACTTGGCATCCATTTATATCCTATGTTCAAAATATGTCAATGCCTGTTCATGTCTGTGCGGCTGATCCGGTGTGGGAGGGGATTTTGTTATTTTGTTGTACGTTTTGTGTGTGTGTTCTCAAAACGAAAATATTTCAGTTAAGTGAATAAATTTTAATAGAAATCATCCTTCCTGCAGCGTTTCTGCACAGAGACCGATGCCAGGACCGTCCTGCAGTGCCTGAAACAGAATAAGAACAGCGAGCTGATGGATCCAAAGTGCAAACAGATGATCACCAAGAGACAGATCACACAGAACACAGGTAATCACACAGAAATCAATCCGTTTATAGTCCGAGGCGTCCTCAGTCTTCATCTTCCTGCTCCTGCCGTCAGACTACAGGTTGAACCCGGTGTTGAGGAAAGCGTGTCGAGCCGACATCCCAAAGTTCTGCCAGTCCATCCTGAACAAAGCCAGCAAGGACAGTGAGCTGGAGGGTCAGGTCATCGGCTGCCTCAAACTCAAATACGCCGATCAGGTCTGACCGCAGCGCCTTTCTCTCAGCATTATAACGTCTCAAAAGTGTTTTCTTTAAATGAACGTTTTCTGACTGGGCTTTGGTTCAGAGGTTGTCTCCAGATTGTGAAGACCAGATCAGAGTGATTCTGCAGGAGTCGGCCCTCGACTACAGACTGGACCCCCAGCTGCAGATGCACTGCTCAGACGAGGTCATTTACTGAATCTCAAATTTTTGAAAATGCATCCAAATACACGTGCACACAAACATTTCATTACATCGAAGGCACCTCAAACTGAGCCGTCTCTGTTTGAGTCATTTGTTCACTCATGATTGTTTTAACACGTTAAATAAATAACGTGAATGAATGAAACCTGTTTTCTCCAGATCTCCAGACTGTGTGCAGAGGAGGCAGCAGCTCAGGAGCAGACGGGTCAGGTGGAGGAGTGTCTGAAGGTCAACCTCCTAAAGATTAAACAAGAAGTCTGCAAAAAGGTGAAGGCAGGAGATGGTTCTGCTTTCAAAACCTTTTCTAAGCACACCTACCGTCATTTTATTAAATCTGTTTATCGCTCACTGTTGAACACAAGTAGGAATATTCTGTGCATGCAAATTGTCTAATACACGTGCACAAATCACCTGTTGTGCACGGATCAGCTGCCTGTGACTGTGACTTCTGAGACGTTCTTATCACTCCAGCAAAGATAATGCTGCGTTCAAGGCTGGTGAACAGCTGGGACATCTGAGCTTCACCACTGAATTATTGGGAACAGACTCATTTCTGACGACACAGAAACTCATAACCTTTATAATAAATCACAAACGCTTAATTAATGTTAGAAAACTGCTTCTGTATTAACTGTTGGATTTACAAAATGGTACTTTATTTACAATTTTAAGAGAAGAAAACGACTAAAATTCTGGGTTTTTAAACCTTTCAAAGTGTCTGTTTTTGTTTCAAATTAATTTAGGGTTTTATAAAAATCACCACCACATTGATGAAGAGTGTTCTGAAAGATTTGTAGTTGTTCTGCAGCAGAGCACTCAGTGAGACGTTTAATAAAAACAGCTGATTGTTTGTTTTGCAGGAGGTTCTGAACATGCTGAAGGAGAGTAAAGCAGACATATTTGTGGACCCTGTCCTCCACACAGCCTGCGCTCTGGACCTCAAGCACCACTGTGCTGCCATCACGCCTGGCAGAGGGAGACGTGGGTCCATCTTTTTCTGCTTTGTAGGATTGTAAAGAGGATACAGTGCTGCTTGAAAGTTTGTGAACTCTTTATCATTTTCTATATTTCTACATAAATATGACCTAAAACATCATCATATTTTCACACAAGTCCTAAAAGTAGATCAAGAGAACCCAGTTGAACAATATGGATATATAAATATGCCCCATGGGCACCATGTTGGTGACACCCGTCACATACTTTTACCACTCAACCAATATGTAATATTGGATCATTTTCCTCAATAAATAAATGACCAAGTATGATATTTTGTCTCATTTGGTTAACTGGGTTCTCTTTATCAACATTTAGGACTTTTATGAAAATCTGATGATGTTTTGGGTAATTTTTATGCAGAAATATAGAAAATCTAATGATGCACGATTTTTTTGATTTTTGACTGATATCCGATATGTTCTGTCAAGGGCGTCAGAAGCATCCACAATGTGGGGGGGACACAATGATGTGTGTACATGTGTGTGTGCTCGCGTGTGTGCGTGCAAAGCAGTGTATACTAATATACAAAAAAGCAGCATTTCACTTAGATTTCCTTTAATTCCACACATTTAAAACATGTTTCTCATCAAGTTTGTGTAAATTCATCTGTGGGTTTTAAAGACATTTTAACTTCAATACACTTTAATACAGAGCGTCAGATCTGCACCATTTGTCTTTATAGAGAAATAAAAAACACCACTGGACTTTTTTACTTGTGTTCAACACGACTCATCTAAATGATGCTTCTCATGAAGCTTGAGGACAATAAGGTGTGGGGTTTTAAAGACATTTCAACTTTAATTCACCTGAACACACAGCGTCTCTTACACCTGCAGCGTCTCTTACACCTGCAGCGTCTCTTACACCTGCAGCGTCTCTTACACCTGCAGCGTCTCTTAACACCTGCAGCGTCTCTTACACCTGCAGCGTCTCTGCAGCGTCTCTTACACCTGCAGTGTCTCTTACACCTGCAGCGTCTCTTACACCTGCAGTGTCTTACAGCG